CCAGGTGGTTGTTTGCTCTGGAAAGAGCCCCCCAGGTCAGGGTCCTGATATTGTAAGTCCACCTTCACCTTCTCGGCCTCACTTTAACTCTCATCACCATTTGGCACCCACTATCTCTATAACTACTCTAAAAAGACCCTGTTACTTTCCAGGACTTGTCTGCCTCACCCTGGATTACTCTCCACAGCCTCAAACCACCCTCACCTATCCTGAACCACTATAATCAGTCCCAGTGATGATGCTGAAAAGTTGCTAAGTACTGTCTGGATAAATAGTAACCTAGCACCTCAATATGAGAAGCATTGGGCAGTCACTAAGTATGAGAGTGAGTCCAGGCAGAGTTCAGTTGCTCATAGTAGGAGTAAGTTGTTAGTTGGAGGGAAAAAGTGTTGAGTTGCTTAGCGACAAACTAAGCCATATGCCTGCCATAGGTGTGAGGTGCTAAAGTACATAGATGTTGGCAACAAAAGATGGCAAAACAATTGACAACACAGGCAAGTCAAAGACTATGGCTTAGCGACTCTCAAGAGTATAAGATGCACTAAGTTGAGCTATGGATTCTAGGAAAGTGCAGACTGTGGGTCAAGGAAGATGTGATTTGGTGATGTCTACAACAAAATATGTACAATATTTATAGGTTGCCAGAAGGCCATCACTAACTGACAGAGTAGATGTAAAATAATGGAGCCCTGACAGTTAAAAATGTAAAGAGAGCACACAGTTGCTAACTGGACACAGCATCTGTCAGTTGGCAAGGCAAAAGTCTACACTTCAAAACTATAAATAAGCAAATTCACAGTGAATTATAGCTAAATGCAGTTCCATCAAATAACTCCTGTCTTGAGGAATTATCATCAGAAGTCAAGAACTTGCCAATGGTTGCCAAATGTAAAGTGACATTGCTTAGAGTTTGACAGATCTTGCTAAATAGTGATAAGTGTTGCTAAGGTCACCAATCTTGGATGTGCCAAAATCCACTGCTGATGAGCTTGGTAATTGCTGGCTGATTAAATGCTGATGGCAACACCCACTATTCTATATGAAAAAGAGGCAGTAGCAAGACCAAAAATTGCACGCTTTAAAAGAAAAAGGGTATTAATATGGTATATGATGCAGAACATAATCAAATGGAATCAAAAAGGAGAGCAGGTAAAAGATTGCTGACACCACCAATAAATTGAGACAAACATAGCCATGTCTATAAACAGAGGACACAAATAAATAGAAGAGTAAACTGAGAATGAGAAGGATAAGAGAGGCTGAAGGACAACATGCTGTATAGTATGACAAGGTGCAATTGTGTTTTGTAATGAAGCTGAAGGCACAGAGATTTAAAAAAGGGATGAAGAGTATGTGTGGCAAGAAGCAAAGGATTAGGCATAATTTAGCATTTATTCAGAACAAGCAGTGCAGGCCAACAAAAGAGGGAAAAAAAGCACTTTGCAAACAAGGCCCATCTAGACACCAAAGATAGAATGGGAAAGACTGGACTATAGTCAGCAAAAAAAAGAGTCTTGGCAAAAGCAACCCAACTACAAGAACCTACTACTAAAGTAGCGGAAATTAACAGTATAAAATGTTATTTATCCAGCTCTATAAATACAATTTACAATTTTTACCACCTTCAGCTGTTCTATCACCTACTGTGGGACCACTAAGGGTGAGCACACATTACTTACATACACACTTACTTACATATCTGTAGCTAACCATTATCTTGTATTCTACAAGTCAATATATTGGCTGTTTTGTCACCTATTGTAGGACCACTGAGACTTACCATTATCTTGTGTTCTATATACAGATTATAGATTCATTGTGAAATCAAGCAATTGTCAGGTTCTGCTAACAATGAGGGCTTCTTCCAAAGTGGGGCCTTACAAGGCAGACTGTCAGAAAGAGGTGCATAGCTAGCATTACATAATTATGTAGACTATGCAGTGCTACTGTCATTGGCTAATTTTAGTCTTCTTGTTGCGTTTGTCTTCTATCGGTCAGCGTTCTTGTTTCTATGGCTCCGTTTCTTATTTCACGGTCAGCTTTCAAATCCCTATCCTTGACAGGTTATGGGCCCCAACTGTGCATTGACTCAATCCAGTTTTTTTCCTTTTGATAAAAATTTTCACCATCACTTCCACCAACTATGGCACCTTCCCATTACAAGATGCTTTGCACATTCAACTCGGACAACAAGTTCAATGGGTCAAATTATGATGCTTGAGTCACAGAGCTTGAGATGACATTCATTGGACATGATATTTTGGCACACATCAAGGGTGAGACCTCCTGCCCCAGCAATTCTTCTGGTGTTGTTATTTGGCACAAGGATGACCAGTCAGCTTGTGCCACTCTTTACAGGACCATCTCCTCCACTGACATTATCCATGCTCATTTCAAGAACACCGCCCTGCTCAAACTGCCAGTGCTGTCTGGATTGCTCTCAAGGACAAATTTCAAAAGGACACTTGTGTGAAGCGCTTCAAACTCAAACAGTGTCTCTACAATCCTATCTACAACATTGAAAAGCCAGTCTCAGTATACATTAAAGATATTGTCTCTGCTTATAAGGCTCTCACTGCTTTTGGCCATGCTCCCACTGCTGTTGACGTTGTTGACTCCATCCTCATGAACCTTCATTTCAACTTCTCTATTGTTTGCACTCTCCTCACTACTCAAGCAGATGAGCCTACTCTTGCCACTGTGAGGAAGATTCTCACTGATCAGGAGGATACATGGACTGTTCTCCATTATGTCGAGGTCTCTAGTCAAAAAAAAAGTTGAAAAATGCTGATTTACTTAGTTAAATTGTATGAGATTTATATACTCCAGCTGAATGGAGAGGATTGGACATGAGTTGGACATGAGTGAAGCATTTCCCAGGCCTTTTCATGGTATGACTCACCTTGTTAATGTTCATTGAGGCAATGAACCACAATGCAGAGGCCAAGAGTAGCACCTTGGTAGCACCTAGAAAATCTTTTTGTTATCCTACAGAGCATACTACATTCTTGTCAAAAGCCATGGCTTGGACCAAGCCAAGCCAGAGCCAGGCCAGCTTTGATGGCTTTGGCTTGGCCCAGGTTTTTTCTGAGCTGGAGCCGCCTCAAGCCAGGCTGAGCCAGCGGCTTTTGGGCCAAGCCAGGCCGGAACATCACTATGCACATCTCCATCTGTGCACCCGAACATGATGGGTTTCTATGATACACGAAGTTGGCATTGTGAATGTGGACATGGATGTGAATTTGGTCATTGAGGGCTGTGCAGGACATTTATGTTTCAATGCACCGCACCTGCACTCTTCATCCATATGAGCGCTGAAGCAAGTACATATGCACCAGAGAGCCCAAGATACTACCATTATTACACAACATGAGAAACTAACAAGCACTTGGCTGCAGGGATAGCAGGTGTCAAATAACAACAAGAGTTGAAGTGAGGCTGGAAAGCAAAGATGGGCTTTGGAGAATGGGATGAGAGTCAAGGAGACAAACAAAAAAGTGGTCTGAAGGTTGAGGAAACATTTGGAGAAGTTCTGGAAGAGGGTTTGAGGAAGATGAGACAAGATTTGGGGATGGAGTCAAGTCAAAAAGTGACGAGGCAAATCAAACAAGGTTCAAACAAAGTAAAATAGTGAGAGGACAATTCAGAGATGAGTTCACAGTTTAAGACAATTGAATATGGAGATTCAGAGTTCAAGTGACAAGTTTATGAGAGGAGATGATTGGCAAAGTTAATGCCAGTTAATGCAATACAATTGTGGGGTTATTGCCAGGTTATTGCTAAGTTATGATTTGGTTATTGTTATTATCAAGACTACTGTACAAGTTGACTAGTTACAACCTAAATACTTGAAGAGACAGGACTTGTCCCAGACTGAGCCAGATCAGTTCTGAAGTACTGTATAGAGTACTGTATAGGACTCTGGAGCATACTGAAGAAGTATCTGAGACTGTATGTTGGGACTTTGTGCTGTATAGACTTAATTGAGGGTGGTGGGTGTCTGGATCAGTATATCAAGTGGTCTAATGTTGAGTGTCGGCCATGGGTGTTGGATGTGATTGCCAGAGTGATTGTCGAGTGATGCAGGTGGTTGCGGCACTATAGAATTAGTCAGGGCTGATGCAGGTGATTGCAGCACAGTAGGATCAGGCAGGGTTGATGCAGTGATATCTGGGGGTCATGGTTGACAGGGTGGGAGACTTGGGCATACAGGAGAGGGGGGCAATTACTGGAGAAGGCAGGATAAAAAGTGGGGGTTGATGGGGATGTCCTGGATTTGTGTGGTGTGCTCTGGAGATGAGTTGTGACAGTGGGGAATTAGGCATGCAGGAGGATGGGTCAATTACTGCAGGAGGCGGAAGAAGTGGTAGGGAGTTGGTGGGTATGTCCCAGGGTTGTGTGGTGTGCTCCAGAGGCAGGTTGTGACAGCAATGATGCAACAAGTTCATTTGGAAGCCATTCAAAGCACTCTCCAATATTATCCTTTGCCTAAGAATGCATCCTCTCTTCAATAAAATACCACTTGGGTAATAGAAATATGTTTTTTTTTTGGTCGTTGACATTGTCATCACATTCATACCCATCAACATATTGTTCCTTGTAATTCTTGACCCATCAATAGCCAAATTTCTTTATCCACCATTTTGCAGTTGACAGACTGTCTGTTTATGTGAGCCCATGCTTTGCTTGCACCTCTGGCTGGTTCAAGTACTTGACAATTCTGTGTGTGCTGACATACTTCCCACATTTTGTTGAAATACAATTTGAATACAATTTGATATCATTTGTGAGTTCAAATTTTTGAATCAACTTTGTATTGTATGTGGTTGATAGATTTTATTGTTCTAATTATTTACAGCCTCCAGTGGTAGTTCTTGTTCTAGAAAGGCCCTTGAGTACCCTGTTTGCCTGGTATTTGACCAGCCAGTTCAAATGAAAAGAAAAAGCTCATCTCATTCATCATTCACTCGTATAGAGCACATTTGTCTTTGTACTAACATTCGGGTATGGTGTAACGGCTAACATTGCCGCCTTTCATCGCATGTTCTATATATCCTGCGCGGCAGCTCGGGGTTCGATTCCCCGTACCCGAAATCATTGTACACTGTTATTTCTTTTTGCAAAGGTTCCCTCCCACCCGAGTGATGTGTATGTGTGATCTACAGATAAAGGCTTCGATAAAGCATCGTCGTCCCTCGTTCCTCGCAAATTGCTCTGCGCACATCTCCATCTACGCACCCGAACAATTTGGGTTTCTATGCGTCGTGAACGTGGACGTGGACGTGGATTTGGTGCTATGGTTACTGCTAGTTGGATGACGGAGTCGTCGAGGACATTCATTTTTTCGACGCATCGCCTGCACCCTCCATTCATTCATCAGAGCGCCCAACGATACTCTCATCACGCACCACCACAAACCAACAAACACTCGGGTATGGTGTAACGGCTAACATTGCCGCCTTTCATTGCATATTCAACCGCATGGTTTATAAATGTTCCGCGGCAGCTCGGGGTTCGATTCCCCGTACCCGAATGATATGTTGGCATGGCATACTGCTGAATTTTCTTTTCTTCCGCATGAATGCACGGTCTCGAGCTCGAGCCTCTAATCGCACGCGTCCGCGTCTCCGCCCCAAGCGGACGAACTGACGACGTCGAGACGGGGATGTGATTCGGTGCCTCAGCCGTCTAGCGCGATGGTAGACGTCGCGGAGCTGCGTCAGGCGTCAGTCACTACACGGATTGTATTATTGTATTTTGCCGCGAGCGGCGACGAATTCGTCTCGTCCTACGTGAATGATTTAATTTCGTAGATATGTCGTTCAAGACGTGAATGCTTTATTTTCGTAAATATATCGTTCGAGTCTACTTCTATACATCCCACTTCAATTTCAAATTCACAATCACAACCACAACCACCCCCCGCGCGGCCTAGGTAGGCTTATAATAAATCGTAGTCAAAAACTTCTTCCTATACCTCGTCGTAGTTCCAACAGCGAGGACGCCGTTCCTGATGGCGCTAGTGGAGAGGTGGTGGAGGACGACGTGGGACGGGACGGGGAGGACGCTCGCGTCGTCGGTGAGGGGGACGGTGTTGTCGTCCGTGTCGAGGCTGATCGTGAGTGCGCGCGACGCAGGCGTAGACGCACCCGCGGACGCAGAGGCAGGTGTGGGCGTGGACACGGGCGTGGGCGAGGGCGCGGGTGGGGGCGGGGGGGAGCGCGGGGTGACGACTGCGACGGGGACTGGGACGGGGACGGGGACGGGGTCCGTGTCGACGTCTGCTTCGCTTGGCGGGGGCGCGGGCGGGGGGTTGCGGCGTTCACGCCGCTCGCGGTCGCGGTCGCGGTCACGGTCTCTCCATCCATCGCGTCTTTCCCTGTCCCTCTCCCTATCCCTCTCCCTATCGCGGCCCTCCCTATCGCGTGTCCTACGCGGGGCACCATTACTACTAGTCCCCTTGCGCGGGGGCACAGCGCCGCTGCCCACGACAGCGCCGCCTTGTACGACGGGGCGGGCGTTGAGAATGAGCTTGTCGAGGTGGCGGGGGAGCGTCGGGGCAGGGGGGATGTTGGGCGCGGGGACAAAGCCCGCGACGCGCTGGGTGCCGTAGGACGCGTGACCCTCGGAGGCGGCGAGGTAGGCTTCTTCCTCGCGCGCGGCCTCGATGAGCTCGGGCGGGAGCACGGCGGACCATTGTGCGTGCGCGTGCGCGTGTGTGGCTGTGCCGGTGGTGGCGGGGGCTGGGGCGGCGGCGCTGGCGCTGGCGCTGCTGGCGTCGTCGTCGTCTGCGGCGCTCCAGAAGCTGTGGCCCGGGCGGGGCGTGGGCGTTGGCTTTGTGGCGGGCGGGGACGAGTCAGGGAGGGGCACGGCGACGTAGTTTGCGAGCGAGCCCTGGTCGTCGACGGCGGTGGGGAGGTCGTCGGCTACGCGCCACGAGTCGTCGATGAGGAAGCGAAAGTGGTGCGTGCCTGGGGGGAGGTTGACTGTGGCGTGGTACACGGACGAGTTGGGGGATCTGTGGGGGGTGAGGATGCGCCACAGTTAGATTAGGGGCGACGCACTCGGGGACCATGGGGAGACGGCCCTTCCAGTCGTCGTCGCCGGCACGTGCGAGGTAGACGGCCTTGCCGCCGCCGTGCCAGGAGATGGGGACGGGGACGAGGGCGGGGTCGGGCCGGGGCAGCACGTGGGTGAGACCGACGGGGAGGACAGAGGTGACGGTCTCTGGGACAAAGGGGGGCGCGGGGACCGGTGCGGGGGACTGCTGGGACTTTTCGTAGAGCTCCTGGATGCGGCGTTCGGCGCGGGAGGGCGGGGGGAACTGGTGGGTGGTCGGGCGGGGATCGGGGAGGGGCACATCGGTCGTGCTGGGGAAGGTGATCGGGGCGCGGGGGCGACGGGCTTCGGTGGCCGGGGGCCTGTGCTGGCCGGGGATGGGGATCGATGGGGACTTGGGCGGCGTGCGGGTGGTGCGTGCAGACAGCGCGAGGTCGGCGAGATCGGGCAGCTCCAGCGACTTTTTCTTGGTCCGCAGCGATGGATGGGGGTTTCCGGGGGACGGCGATGTGTGGCGGGCGGCGGTGCGCTGTGCAGAGGCATTCGACGCTGCGTTCCCCATGGCGGCCCACTTGCCCTGTTTGCCCCTGTTGTGCCATTTCATGGATGCCCTCGACGCATACAAGCACCGTGACTCTTCCAAAGGTCTGCCGTCTTTCTTTCCCTCTGCCCCCGCCAACGCCCCACAGTCATCGTCCGCTTCAAGGCCGTCGGCAATGCACCCATCATGAAGCAAAACTTTTACAAAATCACCTCCAGCAACCGCTTCCAGGCCGTCATCCAGTTCCTCCGCAAGGAACTCGCATGGCAGCCAGGCGACCCCCTCGTGAGTCCCCACCACACCTGCTCACACCCCCCTCATCCCGCAGTTTACATACGTCAACCTCGCTTTCTCCCCCGCACCAGACGACACCGTCTCCAATCTCTTCAAGGTGCGCATCTCCTCCTGCCCGCCCCACCCTTCTCATCCCACACACAGTCCTTTGCCACAGATGGCCATCTCATCGTCAACTACAGGTCCGCCGCAGTCCCCCCCTCCTTGCCAAGCTCACTCTCCACAGCACCACCGCCGCCTGGGGTTAGCAGTGTCGTATCTACAGTTATCTCATCAGATTCGAGTATATGCTGCAGAGTCCGATCTATTCGGGCGTCAGTGTGAAATCCTCATGCCGCCCAAGGATGTGTATCTCTTCCAAGAGTATCTAAGATGGACTTGCTTCACACCGCGCGAACCGTCTCTGAATAGAAATGTCAAGTACCCCGGATGCCAGCCAAGTTGTACAATCTAACTCCTATTGATATGTTGAATCTGCGCTGTCCTGACGCAACTCAAGTTCCTTCGTCACAAAAAAACTGTTTTAACATCTAGTCAAAGTTGTTTTCCAGTGCATCCTCGATGTATGCATGCCTGCTATCTCGCTAACTATTCACATGCACAGGAGTGCCATCGTTCGAGACTACGACTACCTGCCATCAAACTGCCGACAAGCATTGTTACTTCTCGAGTGTCACGCAGGTCGAACGCGGGGTCATTATCGACGCACTAGGGTAGGTTGCGCTTTATGTCAAGACCGCACCAAAGTGGTATAGAATACAGGGCTAAGCATTTCGTGCATGATTCTACCACATACTCTGAATGATTCTTCCTAGTAATAATGCTACACGCCCCTTCCGCGGTTGTAATTGCTTCTTGCTCTAGTCGATCTAGGTCTACCGAGGCGTATTCATATAATACGACCTTAGCTACATCTGTAGGGGAGGTAGTAATCAAAACTCTTATTCATTGGTACTCCTTTCCTCAGGTCGCGCGAATGGTGGAAGGACGGGTTGCGACTTCTCGAACCAAGTTGAGTTTTCAGATTTATCGTTCAAAGCAATCTTGGGACGTGTACAATGTCTTTCAGGTTACCAACATACTTAGCCTGAGCCTCTTCACCCAGCGCAAACACGTGAGGACACGTGAACAGACCAGGAGATAGACTAAGTCTAAGACACACCGAATCGACCCATGGTGCCTTGTTCTGTGGCTAAACCCAAATAAATACCACGTTTGCTGATTGATCATAATGGCACCAGATTCACCGCCGACAGAGAGCAAGATTCTCATTCTCGAAGGGCATATTGCAGGCGAGAAAGGCCTGATCGCATTGGAGATTGACTGGCGAGAGCGGGTCATCGACTTGAAAGAGCTCATCAAGGATCAGCAGAAAGAGCACACTCGCGTCAGCAAGTGCACTCCTGATCAACTCATCGTTTACAAGCTTGGAGATGAGGGCTTTGGCTACAATGCACTGAGGGTAAGGGTGTTTGGAGTGCTAACACTCGCCTTCGTATGCTTACTCATTCACCCACCAGGGCAGATATGACCTTGATGAGTATACCTGCCAAGGCGTGACCTGTTCAGAGCTGGAGGACATCGAGCGCATCTATGCATGCTGGCCAGCAGATGAAAAGGGTGCGCCCTCAAACAAGGAGGACAGGCTCCATTTCGTGGTGGGATTTCCGCCGGAAATCCAAGGTAATTCTGGAAAAACATTCGGTGATCATCATATGCTGAGGACTCATCCTTGTTAGGCCTTCACCCACTCATCACAGATTATGCCGAGAGGGAGGCATTTATCAATGACCTTGCCCGAGATCTGCGTGAATGGTGCGAGTCCGGTCAGCAAGCCGACTTGCCACAGGAAGATGAAACCGTCGAGAGTCTCGGTGACAAATTCCCACTACAACAATGCCTTCCTCTTTTGCAGAGGCTTGAAAGTCATATGCTTGACAGCTTCAAATACAAGTACTTTACAAAAAGAGAGTGGCTCAAGGAATTCTCCATCGCTGTTATTGGCGCTGGACCCGGTACTGGCAAGGCCACCATCTGCTCACGCCTGCTTGATGAAATGGCCATGCTGGTTTCTGCTCCCCAGATAAGCGATGTCTCGAAGGACGAGCCGCAAGATCTCGTGCAGCACGACGTCGACACTCTACAAGGAATCATAGCCGATTCTGAAGGACATCTACCAGAAGCAGCGGAACCCATGCATCTGCGCTTGCACGAAGTATGGACTGAGGAGCGGCTTGCCGACTTTCGCCGGAAAGTATTGACTTCCGCTGATCGAAAACTCACCCTCCAGGTCGATCTAATGAATACTGTATTCAACTTCGATCACAGTTCTAGCCTGGCAAGTAACCTAGCAGGCGCTCTACTTGACGCTTACTCCAAGAGACTCAGCATGGTCAGTGGCTGGAAGATGCGCAATCATCTGACCAGCGAACTTGGCAAGTTTCAAAATCCTGTCGGAATTGCTCTATGTGTTCTTCGAGTCCTGGAGAACGACAACATCATTGTCATTCACTTGGACGAAACACAAGAAGTGTCAAGTGAGAACCTTCAAACTCTTGTCAAATTGCTGGTAAAGAAAATGAACTATGACTCTCACGAGCAAGTTCCGTGGATTTTTCCAATTCTGTCTGGTCTATCAC